GGGGGGGGTGGGGGGTGTTGCACTCTATGTGAGGAAGAGGCAACTTGCTGTTGATGAGTCAGTGGGCTACCCAAGAGTTTATGGGGAAGATTAGAGGGGAGACCAGCAAGGACATCTCCTACAGACAATCTGGCAGACCAGAAACCCTGAGATGGTTGTTGAAAAATCTGAGAAAAGTGAAGAAAGCAAGTAGCAGAATAAAGACATTCAATTTCAAGAGAGGTGACTTCAGTCTGCTCAAGGAACCAGTAGATGGGATGCCCTGAAGAGCAAGGGGGACAAGAGGCTGACTGATTTTCAGGAACAACCTCCTCTAAGGAGAGTGGTCTATCCCATCATGTAGAAAGTCCAGCGAGCCCTGAAGAAAGCTAGCATGTATGAAAAGGGATATATCCTGACTGAGCTAAAATGGAAAAAAAAAATGAAGTGTCCAGAAAGTGGAAGCAGGGATGGGCTACCCAGGACAAATACAGAGCCATTGATCAAACATGCAGTCATGGAGTTAGAAAAGCCAAGGCTCAACTGGATTAGAAGATACAGGTGTGAAGGGTTTTATAGGTATGTCAACAGTAAAAGGAAGACAACTGTAAATGTGACTCCACTGCTGAATGTGGCAGGAAATTTAATGACAATGGACATGAAAAATGTTGAGCTAATCCCCTTCTCCTTTGCCTTGGTCTTTACTGGCAATGTCAGCTCTCAGGATTTCCATCTGTCTCTGTTCAGCGACACTTCGGTGACAGATTGAGGTAATAGTAGGGAAGGACAATGAAGCTGGGGGCCACTTAAGTAAGCTGAGCATACAGAAGTCCATGGGACAGGGCTTCTTTCAAGGATGCCAAGGGAGCTGGCTGATGCCACTGTAAGATTGCTGCCTATCAACTCTGAAAGGTGGCAGAGACAGATCCCAATAACTGGGAAAAGGAAAATATCAGCCCATATTCAAAAAGAGCTAGACAGAGATTCAAGAGGGCTATAGTCCAGTCTTTTTCATCCAAGTCTCCAGGAAGACCATGCAACAAACCCTCCCGGATGACATTTCCAAGCATATATGTTTGCAAACAACCAATACAAATTTGCTAAGGACCTGAACAAACTAATTGTTATCTATGACTGTTCCTGTGGATAAACAGAGCACAGTGGATAGAATTTGTTTTTTCTTTGATAACGTTTATCACATTTTTTTCCTATAGAGGCTTTATAGCTCAATTATAGAGATGCAGACTAGATGAATGGATTATGAAGTGGTTGAAAAACTGAGTGGACCATTAGACTCAAAAGGTAGTAAGCAGAAGTTCAAAGTCCGGGTAGCAGCCTGTAAGAGTAATGCAGGGTGAGGTCAGGGTAGGGACTGATGTTATTTAGTGTTTCCATCTGTGATCTGGACAATGGATTAAATACATTGAAATGAAATGCTGTTAAGACACCAAACTGGGGTAAGGGCAGAGCAGCTGTTCAGAGGGACTTTGACAGGCTGAAGAAATAGGCTGACAAAACCCACATAAAGTCCAACAGAATAGCACCATGCAGCACCACAGATCATGAGTTGACTGGCTAGAGAGCACCTCTGCAGAAGAGGACTTGGAGGTCCTGATGGAATGTGAACAAAGACAGGGGTGTAACCTTGCAGTTGGTGCAAGCTAACTGCGTTGGTGAGAGTATAGCCAGCAGATCATTCAAAGTGATTATTATCCCTCAACTTGGCATCATGACATCCCATTTGCAGCACCATGTCCAGTTGTGGAGCCACTAATAAAAAAGATCTTAACAAACTACAATGAATCCAGGGGATGAAGACTAACATGGTTAGGGGGCTGGGAAAGGTAGAGACTGAGAGTACTCAGTTCAGCCTGAAGGGAAAAATAAGGTTGGATCTAATGGCTCTTCTGCTACCTAACAAGAGGGTTATAGAGAAGATGAAGCCACAGGTGCACTGCAAAATGCCAGAAGACAAGATGCTCAGTTGCAGAAAGATAAATTCCAGTTGGATGGCTGGGGGGGACAGAGAACTGAAACTGACAGGCTGCTCAGATATGTTGTGGAACCTCCTTTCTCAGAGATTTTCATATACCAACTGGAGAACCTGAGCAAGCTGTTCAGACTTTGAATGTAGCCCAGACTGAGCAGAAGGTAGGGCTAGGTAACCTTCAGAGGTGCCTTCCAAACGGAATGATGCTGAAATTCCACAGTAGCCAATACAGTTGGTGTATTGTATGGTTGGTTGGCATAATTCCATGAAAGGGAAATTTGAGATTTTATTCTTGCCTATTTCTGAGTGCTTATACGCTTAGGGGTTTTAAAATTTATTTACAGTGGCATGGAATTTTTTTTTTCTTTTTAATGAAATAAAACTAATTTGAATTTTTCCTTAATGTGTGCAAATTTGAACAAGATAGAGGACAGGAAATGTTATTTTTACTGTGAAAGAACCTTCATACCGGACTCTCCCCTGTGACTGAGGTTGAATCACTTGACATTTAGCTTAGCTCCCTCTTTGCTTTATACCTGTGTAACAATATTTCCCTGATGTCACAGAGCTATTATAAGAATGAACATATCAATTTCTGAAGTACACCCATGGAGTAACGACATCTTGACAACATTTATCTTTCTTTCTCACTTATTCAACATCACAGTTACCAGCACAGTATCAGTGGCTATGAGTGGGCAAAAATCTTGTACCTTTCCAGTCTCCAGATTTCAAAGGGTGTTTGCAGAATCTAGCTCTTCTAAACCCATTCAGGTTTCAGGATCGTCTGTGGTTTGGTAAATGTAGTATTTCTTCAGATGACTGTGCCACCTATGTTGACATACTCAACAGATCTTTAATGCCAATCACGATTAAGGAGGACATATGGGGCAGCTAGTCTTCTTTGCTCATCTAACACCGAATAGTGCATGTGTAATAGCTAAATAAAAGTTGTTTAGCATTCAACTGCCATTTGTACCATGGGTACTTATTTGAGTAATTTTTGGCAGTTGCATTTCTTAGGCTGGGCCTCCATTACTACTTCTAAATGAAAACGAGGTTTGCACAGTAGAACTGTACTGTTATTTTAAGGATTTTTCTTACAGCTGTTATAAAAGGCAAAAGCGCAGATCAGCAGGTTTAAGAAGTGCAAATGAAACCAGATCAGTAAGAGCTGCAACATCACAATTCAACAAGAGGGAGCCAAAAACTCAATACGACCATATGGAAACTGTACAATGTTGAAAGTGTTTGTTACCTTGATGCGAGAAGAAAAAGGCAATGATTTGTAAAAGACCTTGATGGAGATGATATATAATAAGCAGCAAAGTAAATCACTATAATGATTTTTTTATATACTTCACACAAAAAGAACCCTTCCTGAAAACATTAGTATTTGAAAAGCATATTGTTTGTGGAAAATCTGAAAAATACCATCAAGTTACTTAAATATATTGTTGCTCAATAAGTTATTCTTAGGTTGGAATACAGACAATCCAAGGAATTGACTGAACCCATACCGTACATCCCAATTTATCTCTTAAATTAATATGATTAACATAGCCCTCTATAAGACATGGTAAAAACCTGCCAGCTTAGGCAGCCTCTCTGGCATTCCTCATAGGTGGAGCTATTTCAATCACAAATTTAACTGACCTTTTTTTCTCTCTGCCTTTCATAAACTACAGATACAAATGCAGTGTGTGTATTAGCAACATAATGCACTGAATGACAACTTGATTCTTTATTTGATATATTGGAACAAAGAATAAGTGATTATCAAAGTTATGACTGACTTTAAGGGTCAGTAATACTTGACCTTCGTGTTAGACTTGTTCTCAAAGAGCAAAAATAAACTCCACAGGCAAATGCTACGTAAAACTTCACCCTCCATTGGTCATGGCTAATAACCTGCCCATCATACCAGAGGACAAAAGGTGGCTGTACAATAGAGCAGCCAGTCACTAGAGCTTTCCCAGGAAGCTTCACACAGTGGTGCTAGACAGACTTGTGAGAAAGAGGACTTTTGTTACATTACAGTAAACATTAACAAGCTGTTGGACCTAAAGAGCCCTATCCTGAATCCATTCTACAAACACATCTTCTGTTGACTACAGCAGGACCTCAGCAGGGGACAGTCTGTGGCCCAAATAGGAGGTCTAATTGGCAGAACAACTATTTAAAAGTGATCACACTTAAGTACTTTACTGTAGTCTTCCTTTTCCTCTTTAGCCTTCATCACCTTGTGGTTCACAAGATATTTTTGCTGTTACCCATTAATTACAGTGCTAACCCATTTATCCATGAAAACCTTTGTAAACAGAGATGTCCCTTGGGATGCAAGGATTAGAGTTTCAATTGTAGCAGCTTTGATGGTTGTGAATTAGGAGGAAGGAAGCAGGAAGAGGAAATCTGGAAATGGGAGAGATGCATATTTGTTTCTTTTTTAAAACTGAACTACTTCAGTTAAACAGTGTGGAAAAAAAATCTGTAGTTGTGATTTTCTATAGCTGGATTGATCTGACATAAACATAATGACATTCATAAGTAGAGGTAATACTCCATACCAGCTGGCACAGAGTCTCATTTTCTTGCTATACTGATTGATCCAATAAAAGGTGCTACCTCTACCTACAAATCTTCTCACAGGAAACTAACAGATGAGGATTACATTTTCATTAATAACCTCCAAGCCAAAAGCTCACATGTGATCTCCCAGCAGGATTGCCAGAAAGTAGAGTCAATGTACTTGGCTTCCTTTCTTCTCATCTGGTTGTCCTGGGCTAAGACATACTGATTGCTCTGGTATAATCACAGAGTCATCCTCCGTGGCTCACCAAAGATGCCTCTCTTACAGTCAGTTAGCAAGAAAGATGGTCTACCCTCGTGCTATGGATCCTAACCCTTTTCGAAGTCAGTCTCACTGCTGCCACTTCTTCTCTTTCTCTTTCACCATCGCACCTTCTCCCTACAGATACCTTTTCTCTGCAATCCTCCCTCCAACTCCAGATCCCTCCTGCCACATCCTCATCCATCCTCCTCCCAAAATTCTCTTTACCACCTCATTTCACACATGGGAACCCCAGCTCCCACTGGAAATTCTTGGCAGCTTAAACCCTCCTCTCTGCAACACTTCATCTCTAATTCTGGGCACCTTTGTCCCAATTGTTTGGCTGGGAATAAGAGTACATTCTAGTTATACCAGTCATTTTTATCGTAGTTCTGTCCCATACTTGTGCCAGGCAGCAAAGTAAGTAACCTGCATCTGTCACAGGAAGAGGTACAAACACTAGTATGTTCTGGAAGTTATCATAAAAAAATGTTCAAATCTGACAATATATAAAAAACTCCTGGAGAGACTACAAATAGGAGCTAAACAAATAAAGACTGACAGCCTCTAGGACTCTCATATTACTAGAGAAATTGTCTGCTACAGCAGAGGTGGTAAAGCTCTGCCTGGACATTAGCACATTTCTTCTCTAACCTGGAAGGGACTTGAAGGTCTCTCACACTCAATTACAAACAGAAACCAAAAATATGGGGTGCAGAAAGCATCATTTTTTTAACCTTTCCAAAACAAAGTTTTCTGATAGTCTTTCAAGGACACTGAGTTGACCACTGAAAACAGGAACACGCAGTACTGAGCAGCTAGGAGAAAAGTATTTTGTTTGCCCTTACTACAAAAAGAAAATTTAAGCCTGCCCATGCCTCAGCCGCACCATGTCAGGCTGGTTTAGTTTTCTACCTCCCGTCACCACCAGCTGGCAGGACAAAACTCCTCTCTTGATGGCCACTATAATTTTTCCATCGTTGTTCCCCGAGGTCCAGATAACCGTCTATTTTTGGAGGAGCAAACCTCCAAGAATGTAAGGTCTTTACAAAGGGCAGCTGGTGATATGCTGTACTCTTCTTATCCAAGACCTCTGTTCAAGCAACAAAACATTTAACTTCCTCTTGCCTCATGTGTGCAGCTGTCTGTTGAAGAATCCCTGAATCTAAATAAAAAAAATGGAAGGGTCAGAAAGCATAATCATTAAATCAAAGGGTAACTAATATTTTCTGTCCCTTTATTATAACAGTATATTTCCCAGGTGGGGGGGGTCAGCTAATTTAGTGTCCTGTCAAGGCTATTTAAAGGAAGGATTTACACAATAGTCAGAATGGGGAAAGATCAGATTTAACATCACAACTGTTAAATACAAATATTTATTACACTCTTAAGTTTTAAATGATTAGTTGATCTTATAAGACTCAAAGCTGCAATTGAAAGCTATTGGAAATATTAATTACACGACCCATAATAACAATAATGGTAAGAATTCTGAAAACTATTGTCAGTTTAGCACATAAAAGTCAAGAAAACATCAAAGATACATTTCTTCTGTGTATAAAACTATTGACAAATTGAATTGAGGAATTTCTTAGGGATGCACTCAGAATCTGATGTTTTGTTTTAGCTGTCTCTAAAAATGTCATTCATGCAGGTGGTAGCAGCTTCTAACATGGAAAATATTACAAAGAGAACAAGCTGCAAACTAGCTGAAATTGTCACCTCCCTGTATCTCTCTTTCAGACCATCAGTTTGGAAGGTCTGGCTTTCATCCTGCCTTTCCTCATTGCCTTATACAATGTTATATTCAAACTGGGGAAATTAGAAATCACCTCTAAGTCAAACAGTGTCTGAAATCTGCCCACAAATTGGTTCTCTTTGTCCAACCTAAATCTCATAGCCCACAGAATAACAGTGTCATTCTTGCACAAGTGATCAAAAGTTAGGAGGAGTTCATCCAGGAAGGGATGGTGGTAAACTACATCAGCAGCCAAAATGTAGTCAAAGTGACAGGAAGATCTAGGAAAGTTCTTTTCCAAATCAATTCCCCAAGACAATTCCTTAACATGAGGCTGGTTCTTGCATTTCAGCTTTGTATTTTGCAGAACATTGTGCTGAAGATTTCCCAGCAGTTCTGGCAAATCAGTGGCAGTCACAAGTGCACCTGTGGCAGGAAGAAAACAAACATAATCTTTGAATATAATTCAAAACATGAATAAAAGGCCATTCAAAAAATCCATTGAACAAGGAACTGATTTTACCATGTAGCTCTCACTGAAGGAAACAGAACAACATAAACACTCCCAACAGCACTTAGCCATTGTGCTTAAAATAAATATTTTTGGTTCCCAGTAGTTCTGCTTTATAGATTACCATCTAAATGCAGCTGGGGATGGGTGAGGAGAAATCAGCTACTTATCGCATCTTGATATGATATTGGTTAAAGTACAGTAAGCAACTAGATATTGAAGAATACCCATTACTGACTCCAAGAAGTCAGCCTGAGATTTAAGCATGGCTTCAGGTTCTTTTCTTTTTACATAGGAAAAAGCTTTCTCAGACTACAGAAAGCTAAAATTCTGTTACAATGCAGAAGTCACTGATCTGGATTACTCTTGAGGCAGAATAGGCTACCATGACAGAAAACACAACAGTGTCTGTAGCAGAAATATCAAGTTCTTGATCAGTTGCTCAAAGAAACTGCTGAACACAAATGGAAGGAAAGTGACCTGGCATCCAAGAGCTGTTTGGTCAATGGAAGGTGACGCATTGGTCCTACCTACATCTGGCTTCATCTGGTTCCCACTCACACCCTGTGAGGCCATTAGTCTCTTATTTTGGTCCCCTGATTAACACTGTTAATGACAACATCATCTACTGGGACCTCCTTTATTGCATCAATACACTCACAGCTTTACAGGAAAAAAAAATAACAGACCTGGTTTCCAAACAAGCCTTTTGGAATTTACTTTTTCTTGCTCTTGGAAGCTTTCAAACAATAGTCTTTTAGAAGAACTGAGCCACTTGCTTTGTCCTCCAGTATTTATCTGAGAGATGTTTCCAAGAGCATAAGAACAATGGCATGTACTCACCCAGTAAACTGGCTACTATGGAGACCAACCCAGTTCCAGCTCCAATTTCAATCACATTTTTGTCAACCAAATTGTATTGTTTAGAATTAGTTTCCAAAAAATAACACAGAACAAGAGCCTGTAGGGGAGGGAATCCATGAACATACTGAACAAATAAATTAAATAAATCCCTTCACTAAATATGCATTGTCATTTAAAAGCATGCAAAAAAATTCCTGTCTGTTCAAAAATTCATGTTTGTTCAGAAGAGCAATACTCACTCATTCAAGCACTGTCCCTAAAGGATCACAGCTCACTATGAGCTCCATAGGCTGACAAAATAATTGCCACAACATGCCTCTGTATAGGCTTGCAAAGCATTACAGCCAGAAGGAACAACTGCAATTATCTAATCTGTCATGCTGCATAACATGAGATATAAAATTCCAGTCAGCAATTCCTGCTTATAACTGCATTTACTTCTGGTTGAGTTAAAGCGAGTCCTTCACAAAGACATCTTGATATAAGGACTTTGAAAGAGAAAATTCACAACCACCCTGGTTAAGCCCTTCCAATAGTTAATTATTCCTAACAATAACTACTTCCCATCAGGATTCAAAAAGTACTAATAGATTTACTCCTTTTCTTAATCTTCAGTTTCTGTGTGCTTACCTTAAGCTTAGCAAACTTTTATAGCAAAGCCACAAAAGAGCCCTCAACAACTGTATATATGCATTTATAAACTGTGATTAAGAAGCTTCTTCAGCTTTTCTGCCCTGTCTCATCCTGACCACTGAGTTTTAGTTCACTGTTGAAATAGAAATTGCTAATTTCATTTCTCTGGCAAAGATAGTTTCCAGCTTGTCTCCCACATTTTTTCCCAGACTTTGATAATTATATAGCGTCCACTGATAAATACATATGATGGTTGTTACATCTTCCTGCAATACAGACGACCATTTGGAAAGGCAGTTATTAGTGGCTTTGTCTGGCACAGCAAAATTATGCCCTTATTTTTGCTTTTAACCAATTAAGATGTAGAAGGAAAGGAAGAGAAAGACTGTTGACGCAATGTTGACATACCAGAAATCCAAACAAAGTTTTTTTTCTTTCTGCTTCTTATTTCAGAGCAAAGAGAGCAAAGTTTTTTATGCAAACTTACATATATCTCATAATCAACAAAGCTTTGATATAGAAGTAAGTCTGTGAGTATCAGGACTAATTACAGCCATGTTACTAAAGATTGTGTCTGATGTTTCACTGACACTTAAAAACACATTATAGTAAGATTTTGTCTTAGTTCCATATATTCCTATAATTTCTTCCCTCACAGTTTTGACATACTCTGTTGTAGAAACTGGCTGGAAGTATCAAAATTTCTGTGGGTTACATTAGGGAAACTTTGAAATCTGGTTTCCTTTACATGAAACATGCAGAAACTTTATTTTGCTTAAAGTTTCTGCCCTCTCAACAAATTTGGCTGACTTTTTTCAAAAGAGTTCAAATACTGCTGGATGGAATAGGAAGGGAGAACATGAAAAGACACAGACAGAAGGGTTGCCTTCGTTCCACTGCAAAACTGGCTAAAACCCTTCCAGAATAAAGATATACTTTTCAGTACAGTCCATGATTTTGTGAGAATAATTGGCAGCCAGCCAAACTTTCCTTGAAGACATGCACTGAGGCTACAAAGAGATACAGTATAAATAACTTGTCCAGGTCTGCTAAGACAAGGGAAAATTTTTTGGATTTCAAAAGAGCAGAGTACGCTAGCTCTCCTCCACTGAACTATGGCTGTACTTCTTAAAAATAGTGTGATACTAGGGGGTTGATACTGTTGGGACAGAAATGGAGTCTCCTGGGTTTTAGTCTTCTCCCTTCTGGAGATAGTTCTGTTTCAGGGATGTTCTCTGAATGTTACAAGTGTCAATGGTGCATGGTGGCACCTCCCTGACCACAGTGGTTCACAGAATCACAGAATTGTCTGGGTTGGAAAAGACCTTGAAGATCATCCAGTCCAATCATCAACCCAACATTGACAGTTCCCAACTACACCAGATCCCTCAGCGCTAAGCTGACCCGACTCTTAAGCACCTCCAGGGATGGGGACCACCACCTCCCTGGGCAGCTCATTCCAACATCTCACAACTCGTTCTGTAATGAAATACTTCCTGATATCCAGTCTAATCCTTCACTGGCACAACTTGAGGCCATTACCTCTTGTTCTATCGCTTATTACTTGGTTAAAGAGACTCATCCTTTCACTCTTAATTATTTCAGAACAGTTGGCTGCACTGCACAGATTCAAAACCTTGAAGGCGGCTTTTTGTATGATGGGCATGTTGATGGTTCTTATATCAAGAGCCAAGGACAGTGGTTCTCTTCCACTAGATTTCTGGCTGTTTAAGAAACTGAAAGCTCCAGGTGAACCTTTTCCCATGTCTATATATTTACAAGGTAAATTTATAACAACCTACATGAGTAGGTTGAGTAGCTTCTTAATACCTCGGTGAGCTCATATCACAGCTATTTCTACAACCTGGATCTGCCTGCTATATAGCTGTCAGTATTTATAAAATGTACAGAAATGTAATCATCATAAGACTGCCATATTTTCTTCAAAATATGCTTGTAATTGGCCAGTAGGATCAGAATTTACTGGAAGGTGAGGAAGGGACACAAGATCATACATCTTTGTCATGAGGCACAAGCAAGAAGTATCATTTAAGCTTTGAGAACTGTGAATCTATATGAAATTAGACTACATCCAGGTTTAGGATTTGCAGAAAAGACACAGAGAAGCACAGAATGTTTTCTTTGGTTTTACAGCATGCAACGAAACATTTATCATGCAAAACAAATTAAAAGTTCTAGAAGACTCCAAAACCAAAAAAAATAATAATACTGCACAAATATTGTACCGATGGCCAGACGACTGCCCCGTAACAATCAGTGGCTTCTGTAATTCTTATCTCGTGGCCAGCAAAGTTAAAGCCTTCCCAGGCATTATGAGTTATAAGTGCAGGGAAAAACCGTCTTCTCATGATTTCTGCAACTACCTGTTCATCTTCTTTTTCCCCTAGAAGCAAAAGTAGAAAAAGTCAAACAGGCTGAGTGGACCCTTAATGAAATTACCAATTTATATTGAAAAGCTGATTTAGAAGCAAGAATGTGAATTACGTCTGTGAGTAAAAATACATTTCATCGTTAATGGTTATCATGATACACAAGAAGTCTCTTGAATTTTAACTGAAGTTTTAAGTGTATGACTAAGTAATTTCTTTCCTGTTTTGCTGAAGAAGCCAAATTCTTAAAAAGTAAAGAAGAGGAATGTTACCATATATTGCTTTCCATTTCAGCAATCCAAAAAAATTTTTAACTTCTTTTTTCTTTCAAAAACAGCTGCTCTAGCATAGACACTCACAGTCTTACGCACATGGATTTTTTATTTTCCATATCCTTTTCCTGTTCGTTTTCCCGACATTATGATTCTTTTTGACAGTAAACAAAAGGAGCCACAGTATCATAAGTCTGTCACAAAACTTGTGAAACTGATCCTAGCAACACAAACTGTGACGGAGAGAGCAAAAACACTGGTGTTGTCAGGAGAGCTTATCCACACACCCCAACAGAGCCCTGTCAGAGGGATTCTTTCCAGTTGGCTTGATATCCTGAATACCATCCCTGTTGCTAAGCAAAGGATATTTATGATAGCTAACCTAATTCCAGATAACTCTTCTAACAGGAGAGGATTCACTCTTTTTTAGCTGAATTCCAAGCCAGTTTCAGTTTTGTCATCATCACACAAAGATGCACCACAATGTTACAAAAAAAAAAAATATGTAAGTGAAGTCATCCAGACCATTTTCTTAGCAAACTCTAGAATCATTCCAACTTTTCACAGGAAATTTGCTTTCACAGCCAACTATGATCTCTTGGCAAATCAGCTAAAGCAAAACATGTTTACAAGGTATACGTCCTAGAAAGCAAACTAGAGGTTTAGATAACTGGGTTACCATCTTGTCCAAAGCAGAGTTTCTATATCAAGCCTACAGTTACCATCAGAATCATAGATATCAATATCAGGATCTGAACAGAAACTTCAGGCCTAATGGCTATTAAAAATTAAAACATTTATGTTTTCATCAGCATAAAACACATTGGTCTACTGAAGATTCTTCACCGTTTCTTCCCCCTCAAATCACTGCAGTCACAGGACATTATGGCCTCAGGTGTTGTCATTTGCTCTGCCATGTGCCTCGGTACTTTTATTGCCATAACCTATTGACAAAATATCTCTCCCTTCCTTGTGACAGAGGACCAAGGAACAAAATCAGGGGTGAACAAAGAAAGAGATAATATCAAACAAAAATACATCAGGAAGATGCTCAGGCTCATTAGTCAGTGCTTTAAGCTTGTAACTCAACTTACTCTGAGCATCAGAGAAAACTAGAGAATAGCAACAAACAAGGAAGAAAAAGCTAAAATATTCATCTTCGATCTTAGTATGTTGACACTAAGACATAATCTGAAAGTTAAACAAACAAATCCCAGCAACAAAAATCAACTAACCAGTCAATGGTACTCCAAGAATTTACTGGGGCAGGAACACTAATCATGGGATAGAGCAAAATTAAAAATAATGTAGCACATACACTACTGGAAAAAATAAAAACAGTATAATTCTCTAAAGGTAACTTAAATAAAACAGTCAACATTGAAACTATGACATTTTAAGATGCTAGGAAATGAGTGGTATGTGGCAGCCCATTACACCTTCTGCAAGCCTCTAATGTTAAGTGGAGAGATAACATATGCGTCATTGTGCCTGCAAGCAGGGAACTGTGCACAAACATGAGTAGTGCCAGAGAAATGCTGCTCCAGGGCAAAATTAATCTTTTCTTATGAAAGAATTAATATGAAGCTGTCTTATTATATGTATCGTAAGTGCATTTAAGATATCCTGTTTCCAGACACACCAGATATAGCCTGCTTTTAATCTTCTCTGATTGCTTAGAGCAGTCTGATCTTGTTCTGTGATCAGTGCTAGCTGTGGAAGTAAAAAGCTGTTCCTTCTATTACCTCCTAATTACAACTATTTTTCTTGATTCTTGCTTCCTTGACATTTGTTTTGGATTTAATTTTTGTCAAAAAAGCTGTAACTTATGAAGTCTTAACTTCTAAAGCTTCTGTCATAAGATCTATAAAACTTTAGCAGTATTAAATCTACCTCCCTAGTGCTCAGTAAACATTTCTCACCTATTCCCTACACTATCAGCAATCTTCCTATAATACTTGAGGCTTGCATAGCATCTATGCTAACAGAGTTTGTAGGCCACTGTTCCCTACCTGAGCTAAATTGTCCACACACTGGAAAGAAGAATCCCAAATCTGATGATTAATAACAGCACTTAAATCTTTGGCCATTTTAACCCTTTGATAATCCCACAGGTGGATTATCTGGAGAAGTTTACATAATTTTTGTATTTTTGATGAAGAATGCTGACAAAACAAGGAGTGCAGATTTTTAGTCAGATTTTCTTACTTACACAAGGTCCCCTTCATACTGCAAAAGTCACTCTTCTATTTTCTGCTTTTTATCTTTCAGAATAATTAAACTTGGAAGACAAAGGAAAGAAGTTAATTTTTCTATAACTGCCTTCAGAGCAGTTAGAACAGAAAAATAATGAACTAGTGGTAAATTTTTCAAGCAACAAAATTGTGAGCAGAGTAAGCAAAATCCAAGTGAGAGGAAGTCTCTTAAATACTTGCCAACACTGAGAAAGTTCTGCTGGTACTTTGATCAAAGTAGTTTCTTGATAACAGATGTAAAAAGCTGACAGGAAGTTATGCTCGTGGAAATGTTTATCTCTGTGTTAGTCCATATTCTCTTGTTCAAGAAGAAAAAAATCTTGGAATTATAACTCAGTTAATGGATTTCAATGACATTTTAAGACAACATGATCTGATTCATCAGTAGAATAGGGTCAGACAAGAGAAGAGGAGACCTGACTGACCTGGCTCTCAATTTTTGTAAGAATGGAAGTGCATAATGGGCATTTCCAGAAATACTACTTCAGCACCAGCAATACTACTTGAGTACTTGACTAAATTGTCAGAACTTAAAGGTATAGTAAGACTGCTTCCTCCCTTCTTCATTTGTCTGGATCTGACCAGTAGGTTTGCCCTCACTCCCCTTCTGTGATGTGGAGAGGCATGGAAGTGGTATATACATAGAATTACTTTCTTCAGCCTATTCATCTCTTTGCATGAGCATGTATACATAGAAACCACTGGAGTTTCAGGTGCTAGAACCATATTTACATTAAGATCAAACAGTCTGATCCTGTTCAGGTAACATATCGAAATAGAGATAATTTTTGTTAGTGAAACAGATAGTGCCCCTTTGGTCTTGAACTTGTGTTCACAAAGAAGTTCCTGTCTACAGATGCCCCAAGTTCTTCTTGAAACAGAATCTGAATATTTTTAAGTTTCTTAAGACTTTCTGCCTAATAGGTTAATTTGTTCCTGAGTTCTTTGAAATACTGCAGGTAAAGTATTGTTTATGATAAATGGCTAACACCGTTGGAGCATTTTCTTTGAACTCTGATTTTAAGTCAATACCAGAGCTGAGGGAGAGAAGTCATATACTGCTGACACATCTTGCACTATATCAACCACATCATTAAGAAAACAGCATAAACATCATTCTCAAAGGCAAAGCAATCATCATTATTACAACTGAAATGTGAATATAGTTTTCCAAAGAGACATGCTAAATCATGTGGAAGACTGGAGTTGTGAAGTCAGTGGCAGATTAGAGAAACGCATGTCAAGCTGCAAAATCTTGTGTAGGGAACCAGAGGATTTTGCTGACACATTCAAATGTCAGACGAAATGTTCTGTATCAGAACAAAACCTAAAGAAAAGAAAAGGACATGAGTTCTGCTGAAACAGAGTTGGAGAAGTCTTTCAAGTGAGGAAGGAAAGGCAGAAGGAAAATAACAGGAGATAGATCAGGTCAAAATGGAACAAGTTTCAAACTGCAGCATGTTTTTCTTTAACAATGAAGTACATCACACCAGCAGGCCTTAGGCTAAATTTATCTGCACACTTTCTGCTTAGAATGGGTAGAAATAGTACTAGAAATGTGCTACATGATCAGCTGTTTTCTCTACATCAATTGTCATAAAATCATACTTGGGAGTATACAGCTCCATCAGGAAACAGTAAACTTAAAATTCAGTTGGGTGTCTTTCATCAATTAATAGCATACGTTAAATCTCTCACTGAATATCTAATGATGCTGCCTATATTAATGCATTATCTACTGAATAAAAAGGGAATAGAAACAGGCACTCTTAAACAGCACTTAAAATGCAGGAAAAACAGCAAAGACAAGAGGGCTAAATTAAAAATATTTTTTTAAAAAAATAGATACCACTGTCTAGATACCTGAATTAAAATGAGACTAAAAAGGGAAGTGAAATGACCTTTCCACACAAAAGCTGTGAAGAATATACTAGCAGTCAATAATCTCCGTTTTCAGACTAATTCACAAATAGCACACAGAGTAACAACCTTCAAGTACTTTGCTAATGGCTTAGGACAGCATTAATTCAGAAACAACCCTTTCACCCAATGATTCATGAAAACAACATACAGTGGAAAAAATACAGATTAGTCTCTTTCAAGTGCTGGCCTGACCCTGTTTAATCTCTTGAGGTCAAATGGTGTCACATCTTATGGTGATAAGGAAATAAGATCCAACCATCTTCTGCTTCTCTTCTGCTTTGATGGATCTTCTCCAACTGGCAAAAAGAATGAAATCCAAGCCTTCAGCATGAACTTGACCTGACAAGGTTCAGCCCTACAGCAACATATTCTCCCTTCTTCAGAAGCAGTATACTCTCACCTGCAGAGTTTAGATTTAAAATTTACCATTTAGATTTGTACTTACAAATATTTTAAGAACCATCTATCAACAGCTGTGAAGACACACACAGTTCCTCTGAGACTTCTCAGCAACTGCCTCTGAGTTTGATGAACACAATAGGACTACATGTGCTGACGTTACTG